GAATAACAGAATTTATACTGCGCTAATAGCTACCTGCTTCTGACTATTTGTCGTTTCGAAAGGGTTTTATGACGCTCAGACTTTTTAACCACACCAAAAAATATATAACGCTTACATATTCTTTATTTTTCTTAGACAAATCCTAGATCCGCTCCTCAGTCGCTTAAATGCTCTTTGCCGTTTTCCGGGGACCTTTTTTTTATTCTTTTCCGACTTTTGCGACGATATAACTTCTCGTTATATTTTTATTAAGGTAAATTGAGCGTGACGATTTTCCTCTCTCCCCTTTTTACCACATCACCGATGGAAATCGAGTTTATGATGCTTCGTCGTAACGGATAGTTTCCGTTATAACTATAAGATTTATATATAATTATAAGTTTACAAGATTACGCTTACGACTATAATATTGCATTGTCATCTTCTTATTTAAATCAGATATAGTATTCGCGTAAATTCTCTATTTTAGATAATCTACATAATCTACAAAATAAAGGCAGTAAAATAAAATTTTATAATAATTTTAAAATAACATTTTTTTATTCCTCGTATATGTTACGATCCGCAGACTGGCGATCTTTTCTTTTAAAGAGAAAAAAATGTCTCTTAATGAAACAAGAGTTATAATTATAATCATATGATTTCTTTGTGCTTATATTGATTTAACTAACATTTTAATTTGCTTTATCTTTGCCTTATCTAAGGATAAGATCCGTATAGGTAGAGAATTTGTGTTGCGCATTCGTGTAAGCTGGAATATGGGCGAATGGCATTTGTGGGCAAACGACTTCATTTCATCGCGCCTTGATGGGTCGTTAAGCCGGTGGCGTTCATACGGAATTATCTCGTTCCATCGAGGCACGACCGGTAAACGAGTCGAGTTTCCCGGCTGAATCACTCGTAGAGTTAATTGTTTTCACCGCACCCTACCCGTCCCTGTTTGTATACACTCTCGCATACATATGATCATTCACGTAACCCCGTCGGCAGGGGATTCTCTGTGGAGAGAGAAAGAACTCCTTTCTACTTTTAAATACTTTATGTAATTGTGCTCAAGGCATGCGTAGCCCCAATTTAGCTATATATGATATTAAAACTATAAAAAAATAGTCTCAAGTTAAATATTTCATTTAACTTTCCAAAAATAGCATTGTTGTGCAATCAAATTGCTAATAATTAGTAATTTTATACTAAACTATAAAAATTATTCGTAATAAATGTTTTTTCGATAGATCATAGAGAAATAGAGAGGAAAAGGTGATAAGAGGATAAAGGATATAATTTATTATAATATATATAGATATTGTAATATTTATATATAATATTTTTATTCATCTCATTGTTTTATTTCTTCCTTATTTTTTTACTCTTTTCGCACTTTCCGGAGCTTACTAAGTTATAGTTTTATATACAAATATTACTATATGCTAAACCCCTGACAATATTGGGCAAAATGTACTCGCAGATAGTTAATAACAATATTTGCAGCCATGTAACCTTCAGAAAACATACAATTAATATAAATATTATATCACGATACTTTTCGAAGATCGACATAAAGATTTGACTGTACAGGCATGCAGATTCTGGAGATACATACGCAATCCATCTGATACACGAGCTATTTGAAGCTTACAATTTATATGATACAGCACTTATTATATTTTCGCGTTTAGCGATTAATGTTCGGTTGTGTGTGTCACTCTAATTCTTCCTTATTAAACTATATATATTACATAGCTATATTATATGCTATATACAAAATATAATACATTTATATACAAATATACATATCTATAATTATTATTTTTTATGTACATTACATTTTGCTCAATAGTATTTTCTAATAAGAATCTAACTTTCGGCGTGAAAACTACAATTATTTCTTATCACCTTTTCCTTCATCCTGCCTATATTACACGTTCTTCTACTTCTACTTCACTGTTACTACACTAAACCTAACGTATCATATGCCTTGACATTCATTAAGTGCATTTTAAATATGAAAGATACGCATCACGTGTATTCGAATGTGGTGCCTTGATTATTTAGTAAAGAAATAAAACATTGTACTTATATAATGTACAGATAATATTTGACGTTCATCATATTTCAGATAATTCTTTGTTTTTATAAAATATGACACTTATCAAATATGAATTATGTCAGTCATTGAATGTCGTTACTTCATTTTTCTATAACATGTAATCATGTGAACGTCTGCTATTCGATGGACATCGTGGCACGATTTCTCTGGCGATACGATTTAACAGATATATTTTTTTTAATGATTTCTTTGCAATAAACCAGTACACAAAAAGTTTTAAAGCGCGGTAGCTTTTCATTATCGAGTTACGAGCATTATTATTTACATCGTAAAAAATAAAAAAATTGTTATTAAAAGAAATAAAAAATTATATCATAAAAAATAAGAAATTATAAAATATTTATAATATGTGAC